TTCTTTCCCACGATCTATTTGCGTAGTTAAGCAAGGTGAGCGCCAGGGGACACTGCGGCTCAATATTCCAGTTTCCTTGCTCATTCCAGATTGTAGCCAGGGCTTGGGTGACCTTAATTGTAAGAGAAACCTGGGAAGTGAGCTAAGGATTATTCAGCAGTGCTCAACAGCAACCAAGTTCTGTTGCTTAAACTGCTCTCACCTCTCCTTTAAAAAAGTAGGAATCTCATCACGCTGAGTAGTCCTGGCTATGGAACCATGTGAACCAGGGTTGGGGCCAGGGCTGGGATTAAAGGCATGCTTCACTACCCCTGGTCACCTTTACTTCTAATGATGCCCACGTGATGTGTCTGTCGTAGCTAGCGTTACTACTGCTGTGATGAAACATGACCAGAAGCAATCGGGGCGGGGCGGGGTGGGGCGGGGTTATTTCACTCACAGTTCCATATAATAGCTCATCGTCAAAAGCAGTGAGGGCAGGAACTCATGCAAGGCAGGAACCTGGAGGCAGGAGCTGATGATGAGGCCGTGAAGGGTGCTACGTAGTGGCTTTTTCCTCATGGCTTGCTCAGCCTGCTTTCTTTTCTTTCCCTTCCCGCTTTTCCGAGAAAAGGTTTCTCTGTGTAACAGTTCTGGCTGTCCTGGAACTCTCTCTGTAGACCAAGCTGGCCTCAAACTCACAGAGATCCGCCCACCTTTGCCTCCCAAGTGCTGGGATTACTGGCCGTGCACTGCCACCGCCTGGCCTATCAGGCTGCTTTCTTATAGAATTTAGGACCTACAATGGGCTGGGCCTTCCCACATCAATTACTGATTAAGAAAGTGTCTTACAGGCTTGCCTACAGCCTAACAGAGGCATTTTCTCAGTTGGGCCTCCCTCTGATGATTCTAGCTTGTATCAAGTTGACATAAAACTAGCCAGCACAGCATCTGTAGCAAACACAAATATGATTGGGCAAGTGTTTACTGGTTCCCATGGCCAATGTCATCTTCTGATGTCTTGAGACACCTCTCATATTATGAAGAATCTCCTTATGAGCACAAAATGTCCACTCTTGCTTTCTGTGTTGTGTGGGTATACCCCTGGGGGGGGTGACCTTCTAACAAGTGACACCTGTGACACTTTGTCCCTGCCCCAGAGCCTGCATCTGCAGCTCTATCTGCTGTCTCCCCTTAGCTTAAGTGCCACCAGATTGCCACTACTTGCTACATGTTTTTTTTTTTTCCTGCCCTGTGTAATGTCCCACATCCTGGCTTTGATTGGTGGCTTCCTTTGCACCATCCATAATGGGTGCCCCAGCGTCTGTGGGTCCCCGCTCCTGCCTTCCCTAAGCAGAGACTTAGAACCACAGCACCGCTTTAATTTGGTTGAGTGGTCAGCAGCCAGAAAAATGCTGTGCTTGCTGGGTCCTTCCTGTTGCTCCCACCAAGAGCCTCTGCTGTGATCTCAGGGGTTGCCCCAGCCCTCAGTAACTCCCCAGGTAAGATGTTATGTCGGGCTATAGGCATGACTTAGCAGGAGAGTGCTTGCCTAACGTTTCCCAGAAAGCTGGGGACGTGGCTCAGAGGTACAGCCCCTGCCCAGAATCCAGTAGTGAGGTGGGTATGAGCCTCAGCAGTATAGCATTGACCTAGTATGGCTAAGGCCTAGATTCAGTCCTCACGACTGCATAGATTAAAAAATAAATAAGAGAAAAAGCCATCAAATTCTCTACCCGGAACATTTTTGTGTTGTGTGAAGTTGCTCAAATCTGGCAACACAAGTTGACCAACCGCTCCTTGCTGCCAAGAACATTGTGAAAATGTGTCTGGGGTGAGGGAATGGCTTACTAAGAGAAAGAGTGTTCTCTTTGGGCCACGGATGATGTCCCCTGGGCTTAGTGTTAGCAACACCTGGTGATCGCCAATCCACAGTTCGGTTTTGTGCTTGTGTGTGGTGCTTGGGATAGAACCCAAGGCCTTGGCATACCCCTGAGCCATGCCCCAGCCCTTCACTGAGGGATCCTTGGCAGGGGCTTTTCTCCTGAAAGCCATAGCACTAGATCTCCACCTCCTTTATTTTTTGAGGCAGGGTGATTGTTTTTTTTTTTTTTTCTTTAATTATTTATTAGATATAGTGCTCTACCTGCATGTTTGCCTGCATACCAGAAGAGGGCACCAGATCTTAGATGGTTGTGATTCACCATGTGGTTACTGGGAATTGAACTCATGACCTCTGGAAGAGCAGCCAGTACTTTTTTTTTTTTAAGATTTTATTTATTTATGCTGGGCAGTGGTGGCACACACCTTTAATCCCAGCACTCGGGAGGCAGAGGCAGGTGGATCTCTGTGAGTTCGAGGCTGGGCTGGACCGATAGCCTCCAAAACAATACAGAGAAACCCTGTCTCGAAAAACCAAAAAAAAAAAAAAAAGATTTTATTTATTTATTATGAATACAACATCCTGCCTCTATGTATGTCTGCAAGCCAGGAGAGGGCACCAGATCTCATTACGGATGCAGCCAGTACTCTTAACCTCCTAGCCATGTCTCCAGCCCCAGAATGGTCTTTTTTATTGAACTGGTAGCTTGCTGATTCCAGCTAGTCCCTGGCTGGCCAGTCCCAGGAACCTTCCTGTTTCTGCCTCCCCATCACCGGGATTATAGGCACACAGGTTTTCGTTTGTTTGTTTTTAATGTGGGGTCTGGGAATTCCAATTCAAACCCTTATGCTTGCAGAACAAGCACTTTACTGACTGAGCCACCCTCCCGGCTGGCCCAGCAGCCTTTAGAATGTGCGTCCACCTCACAAGCATCAGTTGTGTCATCTGTAAAATTGCACAGGACTGTTGCAAGAACTGACAGGGAGCGTTGCATAGTCATGGGGTCTAATGGTGGAGACTGAAGAGATGGGAGGAGGGAGTTGGGAGGAGGATGGCTCAACTTTGTTCCAGGAAATGGTGACCAGATGGTCCTGGCCCCACTCTTTCCCTTCCCCAACACTTCTTCTTTTGGAGGAAGTTTTGAGTTGCTCCATAAGGCCATGCCCCTCCCCCGCCCTGGTCACTCCTGGCAGTAGAAATGCAAGGAAGGTAACTGGGAAGATGGCCCAGTGGGTAAGAGCTCTTGCTGCTCAGGGATGGGGGACCTGAGGGTGGATCTCCAGCACCCGGCTGTGTGTTTGCCCCTAGCCCCAGCAGTAAGCGGGGCAGAAACAGGAGGTGTGCAGGGCTTGCTGGCTATCTGCTGAGGGAGTCAGGCTGAGGGTGATGGATCCGGGCACCTGATGTCCTTCTCTGGCTTCTGCATCTATGTACCTGTGCACACCAAGGTGCACATACACTACACACAGTCCTGCACATACAGCGCACGAGATTAATTTAAGAAAGTTTTCCGCAAAGTTGTATATTTTGAAGTTCCTTTTAGCACTGGCATACTTTATTAAATCAAGGTGAAGATGAAGTGGAGCTGTAGCTTGGAGAAGACAAGGTGTCAGGCTTAACGCAGCGCAGCATAAATGGAGCTTGGGGGAGGAGCCTGGAATCCTAGCATTGGAGAGGTGGAAGCAGCAAGATCACAAGTTCAAGTTTGGGGCTGGAGAGATGGCTCAGGGGTTAAGAATGCTTGCTGTTCTAGAAGACCCGTGTTTGGGTCTCAGCACCCATGCCAGGTGACTCACAAGTCACCTGTGACTGCAGCTCTAGGGGTCTGACACCTCCTACTGGCCTCTGAAGGCCACAACCCCCAACACACATAAATAAAATATAAATATACATAACAAAAACTAAAGAGAATTACCCTTGGCTAAACAGGGAGTTCAAGGGCAGGTTTGCATATGTGAGGGCTGTGTAAATAAACAAACAACCCAAAACCAACATGGGCACTGGCTGCTCTTGCAGAGGACCCGTGTTTGGTTCCCAGCACCTATACAGTGGCTCACAACCACCTGTCACTGCCAACTTCTTGCTGGCAAAGATCAACCTGTGCTGGTTGGGGCTGGGGTGATGCTGTCCTTGCCTTGGATCTTTACCTTGACACAGTGATGTCACTGGGCTCAACCTTTAGGGTCTAGTTAAGGATTTTTCTTTTCCATTTATGTTTCTGTGTGCATGTATGTGCACATGAGTGCAGAAGGGGGCGTTAGATCTCCTGGCACTGGAGTTTACAGGTGTTTGTGAGACACCTGATGTGGATGCTGGAACTGAATTTCACCGAAGCAGTAAGCACTTTTAATCACTGAGTCACCTCTCTGACCCCAGTTAAGGTTTTAACTGATCATTGCATTGTAGTGATGGTGGTAGCAGTCCTCATAGAAAACCAGCTATGGTCTCAATGGATCTAACTCCAATATCAGGCCTTTGAGACAGGGACTCACGCAGCTCAGGCAGGCCGGGAACCCACTATGTAGCCAAGGATGAGATTAAATTCCCAAGCCGCAGGCCTCTACCTCTCAAGTGTTGTGACTGCAAGTGTGTGCCTTGTCCTGCTTACTAATACCGTGCTGGGTGCTGATGAGATGGGTAAAGGAACTTGCATCCAAGCCTGAGGACCAGTGTTTAATCCCTGGGACCCACGTGGTAGGAGAGAACCAACTCCTGAATATTGTCTTCTGATTTCCACACATGCACTGTGTACACACCTACACACACACACACACACACACACACTCTCTCTCTCTCTCTCTCTCTCTCTCTTAAAAATAATGCTGTCTGGTAATTGGGTTTTCTGTGGAAAGATGTTGGGTTTTCTTGCTGTAGACACATGTAGAGAATGAGTAACCACAGGACAGGAGGGATGTGTTAACTTGCCTGACAGATGCAAACATGTTGCTGCTGCCTGTTTTGTTTTTGAATTTTTGTTTGTTTTTTCGAGACAGGGTTTCTCTGTATTGCTTTGGAGCCTCTCCTGGAACTTGCTCTGTAGACCAGGCTGGCCTCTAACTCACAGAGATCTGCCTGCAGGAGGGAAGTCCCTCCTCTGGGGCCTCTAGAGTCTGCTTCTCTTGGGCCAGATGTGGCAATGGAGGGCAAGGGACCAGGGGACTTATTACCCAAGGCAGGATGGGTCACATGCAGACATCTACAAGAGGAGCTGTGGCCAGGGCTCATGTGCAGAACTGATTTGTGTCCTGCTGAGTCCACTGCACAGTAAGTGACAGCCCTCCCCTAGTCAGAGCTCTGATGTCTGTCCCGGTGTCCCATGGGGACAGGAGGACACAGTGGTCCTTCTGCAGCACGGGAAGGGTCTGAACTAAGGTGGGGCTCTTGGCTGTCTCTTGCAGCTCCTACAGATGAAAACCCTCTCACTTCTTCTCTTCCTCCTCGCCCCTGTCCCGGGCTTGCTGGGCTCCAGCAGATCACTGTGTTCCATGGATGAAGCCATCGACAAGAAGATCAAGCAAGGCTTCGGCTCCCTATGTGAGGCCCTCACCCAACCTTGCTGAGGGCCTCACAGGCTTTCCTGATTCCCTGACGAGGCCACAGACTCACCCAGATGCAAGGCTAACCTCAGCCTCAAACTCCCCTGTCTACAAGTTCTAACCCAACCTCACCCTGCCCTACCATGAACCACAACAGCTCCAACCCACAACCTAGCTTCTTCCATCACCCCAAACCTTCTATTACCCCAAAGAGCCTCGCTCAGTGTGTCTGGAGTACAGATGTGAGCCACCATGCTGGGCTCTCTGGGGACACAATGTTTTACTATATACATGTGTGCTGAACATGCATGTGTGTGTATGTGGTGCATGTGTGTGCACTGACGTGTGGAAGCCTGAAGTTGATGTGGTGCTATTGTCCCTGATCACTCTCTACTTTGTTTGTTGAGGCACGGTCTCTTAGTTGAACCCAGGGCTTGTGTGCTTGGGATAGTCTGTCTGTCTGTCTGTCTGTCTGTCTGTCTGTCTGTCTGTCTGTCTGTCTCCTGGATGCTGGGGTTATAGGTGGCCCCACACAAGCCTGCCTGACTTTTAGGTGGGTTCAGGGGATCTGAGCTCTGGTCCTCACTTGTGAGGCAAACTCTCTCTCTCTCTTTTTTTTAATTTTTTTTTTATTTTTGAGGTAGGGCCTCCCTGTATAACAGCCCTAGCTGTAGACCAGGCTGGCCTGGAATTTACAGAGATCCTCCTACCTCTGCCTCTGGAGTGCTGGGATTAAAGGTGGGTGCCACCACTGCTAGCTGTGAATCTTTATCACTGAGACATCTCCACAGTCTGCTGGGAAGCATTTGACCCTTTGTCAGTGGCAAACCCAATTATCACGGCTTCTGTCTTCCTTTCTGCAGTGTCAGAAGCAGTAGCGAACATTGGCTTGCAATGCCGGACAGTCTCTTCCAGAGGGGAGTTGGCCTCCTGTCCACAAGGTGAGTGCAAACTCTGTTGTTCAGACTTTCTGGAAGTTCCCCGAGACTCCTCTGCCTTCCTTGTCTCCATCCTCAGTATCTACCGCCTTGGAAGCTCTGTCCCAGCTTCCCAGCCTGGCTCCAGGACGCCATTAGTCATCCTACTCTCCCGGGCAACAGCCTCCAGCCTCCTCAGCCCGTCTCCACCTCCCACTGCTGCAGTCTCCCAGCTTCTCAGGGGCTTCTCTCCTTGCAGGCTTAGCAGTCACCAGCTGCTCCTGTGGCTTTGCCTGCGGCTCGTGGGATGTTCGAGAGGGAACGACATGTCACTGCCAGTGCGCGGGCATAGATTGGACAGCAGCCCGTTGCTGTGGCCTGGGGGTTGGTGCTTGAGGTCTTGAGAGTTGAGCTTGCCTGCCATGTGCTGGAGCAGAGGGGTGGGGATGGGGAGAGGGCAGGGGGAAAGTCCAAGATGAGGGGCTGGAAATACAGAATGAGATGATGGTGATGTTGCTGCTGATGGTGATGATAAAAGTGCATGGTGAAGTGGACATGAGCCTTGCGTGGTTTCTTTAGTGGAGAAGGGGGTGTATGTGGATTGCTATATAGCATTGAAACTTTTTTCCTCTGTCTATCACGCCTTTTATCCCAGCACTCCAGAGGCAAAGGCAGGTGGATCTCTATGAGTTTGAGTCCAGCCTGGTCTATGAGTGAATTCTAGGACAGCCAGAACTGTATAGCCTGCCTTAAAAAAAAAAGGATAAATATTTAAAAAAGAAGAAGAATAGTAACAACAAATCTACACACACAAGAAACTTAAGGGGAATTAGGTAGTGGTGGCACACACCTTTAATCCCAGCACTTGGGAGGCACAGGCAGGTGAATCTCTGAGTTCGAGGCCAGCCTGGTGTACAAAGCCAATTTCAGGACAGCCAGGGATGCAGAGAGAAACCCTGTCTTGAGAAACAAAACAAAAATAAATAAATACATAAATAAATAAGATGTAAACAAAAATTAGGGGTTAGTGGCTGGAGAGATGGTTCAGTGGTTAAGAACACTAGCTGCTCTTCCAGAGGACCCAGGCTCAATTCCCAGCACCCACATGGCGGCTCACGGCTGTCTGTAACTCCAGTCCTAGGGGGATCTGACAACCTCACAGAGACATACATGCAGGCAAAACACCAATGCACATAAAATAAAAGTAAAGCATGAAAATAGTTGGGTGCTGGAGAAAGATGGATCAACAGTTAACAGAATGCATTCAGAGGACCGGAGTTCAGTTCCTAGCACAATCATCTGTTACCCCAGCGTCAGGGATGTGTGACCCCCCTCTACTGGTCTCTACAGGCCCTTGCCCTCATGTGCACAGACCCACACATAATTAAAAATAAGACTAGTCAGGCCAGGTGTGGTGGTCTCATACTTTTAATCCCAGTACTTGGAAAGTAGAAACAGACTATTCGTTTAAGGACATCCTGGTCTACATAGTGAGTTCCGTGCTAGGCAGTGCTACACAGCAAGACACTGTCACAATGTATGAATGAATAAAATATTTTAAATTGTGTTTGATTTTGAAAGTTGTTTTCATACAATATATTCTATCAAGGCCTCTCCTTTCCCATCCCCTGCCATGCTCCCCATCCATCCAACTCCACACCTTCTCTCTCTTTAGAAAAGAGAAACCAAGGGCTGGAGAGGTGGTGGCTCAGAGGTTAGGAGCAATGGCAGCTCTTACAGAAGTCCTGAGTTCAATTCCCAGCAACCACATGATGGCTCACAACCATCTATAATGAGATCTGGTTTCCTCTTCTGGCATGCAGGCAGAATACTGTTTACATAATAAATAAATAAGTCTTTAAAAAAAAGAAAAGAAACCAAATCTTGAGAAAACAAAAACAAAAATCCCCCCGAAACTCTCAAAGCAAACCCATAATAATAAAAAGAAAAGAAAAAAGATACTAGAAACATGTGTGTGCATGTGTTTGTACACACACACACACACCCCTAAACCAAAACCAAAACCAAAAAAAAATTTTAAGAAGCTGGGCGAAGCCGGGTGGTGGTGTCACATGCCTTTAATCCCAGCACTTGGGTGGCAGAGGCTGGTGATCTCTGTGAGTTCAAGACCAGCCTGATCTACAGAGTGAGTTCCAGGACAAAGAAACCCTACCTCGAAAAACCAACCAACCAAACAAACAAAAAGATAAAAATGTGAAACAAAAAGTCTACAAAAAAGCTGGGTGTTGGTGGCGCACACCTTTAATCCCAGCACTCGGGAGGCAGAGGCAGTCGGATCTCTGTGAGTTCGAGGCCAGCCTGGTCTACAGAGCTAGTTCCAGGACAGCCTCCAAAGCCACAGAGAAACCCTGTCTCAAAAAAACAAAACAACAAAAAAAAAAAAGTCTACAAAAAACACCATTGAGTTCTTTCTGTGCACGGGGCCTGCCCCTAAGTATGTTTCATTAAACCAGTGAGACTCCATTTGAGAAAAGCAAATTTTCCTTTGCAAGCAGTTGTCAGTGGAGAGAGCTTTTTGGTTAGGTGTGGGAGCCCATGTCCACTTCCCCTCTCTGGGACTCCATCGGGATTGGACCTACACAGGTCCTGTGCCTGCTGCCACCCCCTGTGAGCTCATGTGTATGTGAGTCCTGTTTTGTCGGGAAGATACGGTTTCCTTTGTGCCATCCATCCCTTCTAGCTCCTAAAATCTTTTCTCTCCTTTCCTGCATAGCTCCCTGAGTCCAGAGGGAGAGAGGTTCGATGGAAACATTCCATTTAGGACTGAATGTTCCAAAGTCTCTCACTATGAACACTGTTCAGGTTTGGGTTTCTTTGTTACCTCCCATTTACTACAGGGAGAAGCTTCCCTGAAAAAAAAAAAACAACAAAACATAACAAAACAAAAAACCCGGCTGAACAAGATACTAATCTTTGGGTATTGCAGAATGTTGTTTGGAGACATTTCATTGCTTTGCTCCTTTATTATAACAATAGTACTCAGTTTTCCCCAAGCCCATAGCCACTGCAGCAGTGTTAGGCAAGGGCACCATCTCATAGAGTGGGCCTCAGAGCCAATCAGACAGTTCTTGGTTACACCCACAAAGCTCGGGCCAGTATCAGCATGTCTTTCAGGAAGGTCACTGTTGTGGGTTGCAGGGCTTGCAGCTGGGTTAGTGGGGTAGCAAGCAGAGTACTGATGGGGGATTCCTTCTCTTTATGTGTTTACCTTATTGGTTGATGAATAAAACACTGTTTGGCCAATGAGGCAGGAAGACAGGAAGGACAAGAAGACAAAGAGAATTCTGGGAAAGGTAGGTAGAGGAAGACTGCGAAACAGAGGCCACGTGGAAACCAGGAAGACAGAATGCACCAGGTGGTCTCAGGTAAGATACATTCATGTAGAAATACATAGATTAATAGAAATGGGTTGATTATTAAGACAGAGCTAGCCACTAAGAAGCCCTAGTTATTGGCCATCAGTTTAATAGTTAATATAAGTTTTTGTGTGCTTATTTGGGGCTGAGAAGCATCAGCGGAACAAGGACATCTGCAGCAGAGTGCCTTCCAGTACCATGAACACAAGTCAGTAGGGGTGGGGATTCTAGGAGGAGTGGATGGGGGGGGTGGAATGGGGAGGTAGGTAGGAGAATGGGAGTATGGAGGGAACGGGAACTGCGATTGGTATGTAAAATAAGATTGTTTTTAATTTAAATAAAAATTAATTAATACCAAAAGAAAAAAATTTAAGAGATCATAGACAGAATATAGACAGTCTAAATATGCAGATACGCATGCATATTCATGTGGAAGTCATTTACAAAAGAATGCAAACAAGAGCATGGCATACATACAGGAGCTGCGACTGAAGGCATTTGGAAGTTTGAATGTACATGTATGGGTGTGTGTGTGTGTGTGTGTGTGTGTGCGCGCGCGCGCGCCCGTGTGCGTGTGTGAGCCAGGTAGGGGAGCAGACAGATGGAGTGAGTGCTTTTTCTCTTCTGGTGTGTCCACGTGGAGGGGAGAATACCTTGAGGACGGCATCAGGGCAAGTGTTAAGGATATGGGTGCCCTCGGTATGAGACGTAGGTGTGGCATGGATGTGGTTTTCCCCCTCTTGCCTCACATCCGCTTTGCTCTCCGTGGTGCTCAGAGAATATGAGCTTGGCTCCCATGGTGCAATCGGCTAACGCGTGGTGCTTACATGAAAAGTAGAACTTGGAATGGGCGGGGTTGGACTATGGAGTGGGGCTGGAGAGGAAAGGTGTTGTGGGGAGGCGGAACTCAGCTGTTGTCCTAAAAGCCAGATTCTGAGTTGATACAGCGTGTGTGTGTGTGTGTGTGTGTGTGTGTGTGTGTGTGTGTGTGTGTGCGCGCGCAGACAGAAAACATGGAAGAAAAGCTGGTCATGTGGGGCACAGCTGTAACCCACCTTGGAAGGTGGAAAGAGGGATCATCATCAGGGCTTGCTGGCCAGCCAGCCTTGCCTATTTGGTGAGCTAGTGAGAGATGTTGCCTTAAAACAAGGTGCCATTGCCTGAGGACCCACAGCTGGGGTTGTCCCCACCCCCACCCCCACCCCAGACACCCACACACAAAAGTCAAGGAGATGAAGTCAGGCCCATTCCATCTGTCTGGCTTCCACCCAGACCCTCTGGCTTCCTCAGAAATCTCTCCTCTGTCCCCACATCTAGGGTCCCTTCTTGGCCATCCATGAAACTTGTGTCACTCTGAAGACTCTCCTGACGTGGAAGCTGAAGATGTCTCTGAGCAGGAGATCCAGTGCGGGTCCCTGAAAGGAGGCGATGAAGCCTTCTTCCCTCCCTCAGATTTCCCCATCTGTCTGACGCCTTCCGGTAGGTGGGGATGTGTGGACACTTGGGAGGTCCTGGGTCCAAGGCTGTGGTAATCTACTTGAATCAACCAAGCAGAATGCAGGCACCAACCTCCCAGGGTAAGAACCGGAGGAAGCCGGGCCGCAATGAAGGTCAGGACGCTGGAGGTGAGAGGGGAAATGAAGAAGTTTGAGGTGCGAGCCCTCAGGACAGAAGAGGCTCCTTCCTTCGAGGGGCTCACAACGCCTGAACTGCTTAATTGTGAAGCTGGCTTTTGTTCCCCATGCCTGCTTCATTATAACCCCTAGATTGAGTCCCCCCCACCAACTCTTCAAATATCTGCATGAGTCTCAGCATCTCCTCTCACCAAATCATACACAGGTGCTCACAATCCTGACTATGAGAATATAACCTTGCCCTTCAGAAACAAGGACCAGCTCAAACTCAATCAATCAGCACCCACGAAACAAGGTGAGCAGACATCTGCTTGCCCACCCCACCCCGAACTCAAAGAGTGTGTGGAGGGGGTGAGTGCTGGGGAGTGTGGTGGTCTTGGCTTGTAAAGGTGGCGATGAAGCTGTGGTTGTGGCTCAGTTGGTAGAGCACTTGCCCAGCATGCACAAAGTCCGGGGTTCAAACCCCAGCTCTGTATAAACTGGGTGTGGATGCAGACCTATTATCTCAGCATTTGGGAGGTCAAAGCAGATAGAGAGCTGGAGGCTAGCCTGGGGTACGGGAAACCTTAACTAACTGTATTGTGGGACTGGGGAGGTGTGGATCATTCAGTCATTAAAAGTGATGCTGCCCAAGGATGAGGACTAGAGTTCCAATCCCAGTACCCACAGGACAAACCAGGTGTCCTGGGCATGCCTGAAAGCCCAGCTCTGAGGGTGGAGACAAGAGGGTCATTGTGGCAGGCATGCTGGTTCCCAGCCTCGACGAGTAAACAGGAGAGTCTCTGCCTCAAAGAAATAGGTGGAGAGTGACAGACGAGAATACCCTCTGCGCTCTCTCTCTCTCTCTCGCTCTCTCTCTCTCTCTCTCTCTCTCTCTCTCTCTCTCTCTCTCTCTCTCTCACACACACACACACACACACACACTCACTCTACTGTGATGGTACTTTGGTGGGGATAGCTTTGTAGCTGAGATGATGGGGTGGGGTTTCTGACAATGTTTCTGGTGGTGCTGTTGGTTGTGTTTTTAATATTTGGGTGACAGAATTTGTTGAGAGGTTGTGAGGGTCACAATGTAAAGAAAACAAGTTGCTGGGCAGTGGTGGCACACACCTTTAATCCCACCACTAGGAAGGCAGAGGCAGGCAGACCTCTGTGAATTCAAGGCCAGTTTGGTCTATAGGACTACACAGAGAAACCTTGTCTCGAAAAACAAAACAAAACAAAATAGAATACAAGTTGGTAATACTAATGCTGACTGACTGGGGATGTCCTTGGTCCTAGAGGCTGGTAATTGGTGTTACAGACAGTACTGATGGCCGGCTGGTGGGGTTGGGCTCTGCAGCTCACATGTCCTGTGTTTCTGTCCCAGCCCAGTCCAAGCCATCACCGGTTACAACTCAGATCCCGCCTTGGTTGCACCGAACCATCATGATCTTGTATGTCCTCCTCACTTTCATTTTTTTATCATGCATCATCCTCTCTGCTTTGGTCCTGGTCAAAAGTAAGTCATCTTGGGAGCTGGGATAGGGATGGGGTTGTGGAATTTCCACCAGTTCCTCTCCTTTCCCTCAACTCCATTTCCAAGAAGGATAAAATGGGGATGGGACTTAAAAGCTTTCCTCTTCTCTCCTAAACAGACTCTGAAATGTCCAGGGAACTGTGGAGCTTGAGAGGGGAGCTTTCGAATGGTGAGTGGGAGGTGCAGGAGAGGCCCACAGTGGTGCTGGTGGGGACAGGAGAGAGGTGGTGCTGGTGGGGACAGGAGAGAGGTGGTCACTTGAACATCTCAGACTCCATGCCCTCAGTTTCTAGCATTGTGCTGAACTGCCAGAATCAGCAAACGGATCATTGGAAAGCTGTCCAGAGGGGCATCCAGGAGGTCAAGAATATCATTGGCATGATCTTGAGCCAAGTACAGAGTGGAAATGACAAGCTGAAGACAGTGCCATCAGGTATTCCTTGCAGGCCTGGCCTCTTTGGGTGAATTTGGATGCACAGAACAAACAGGATACTGGTTACTCAGGGAGGAGGTGGACTTGGAAGGGGGCAATAGATGTTTCCTGTGAGTTCAAGGAGGGGGGTGTTTAAACACTGGTGGGGCTCTGGAGGTGACCCAGTCAGTAAAGCACGATATGAGGACCCGAGTTTAGGTTTCCAGGACTCATACAAGAGCTGGGCATGGTGGCACAGGTCATAACCCCAACAGTTGGGCAAGGGTGGTGGTAGAGGTAGGCAGATATATGTCTAGTCAAAAGGGTGAGGTTCAACGAGAGACACTGTTTCAAAAAATAAGGGAGATAGTCCTAAAGAAAAGAGCTGGCGGCCAGGTGTTGGTGACGCACTCTTTTAATCCCAGCAATCGGGAGGCAGAGGCAGGCAGATTTCTGTGATTTCGAGGTCAGTCTGGTTTACAGAGTGAGTGCCAGGACAGCCTCCCAAAGCTACACAGAAAAACCCTGTCCTGAACCCCCCCCAAAAAGAAAAAAAACCCTACTGGTTGATGTCAGCTCCTGGCCTCTTCACATATCTGCATAGGCAAGTGCAAACACTTCCGAACAGATACACAGGCACACACCACACACACACACCATTCCAGTACTGTGAGCCTCCAATATCTGCGACCCCACCCCAGGTTTGCCTGTCTCTTCTCTCCCACCAGATATAACTGGAATCAAGAAAGCCCTCGAGGAGCTAGAGAAGAAAGCACTTGCTCGTAAGCCAGGGCCAGGGAGCTGGGCTGGGGTGGAGTTCCAGAGTTGTGTAGATCTGCCTGACCTCAGGTCTCTCCTCTCTGACAGAGCCCAGTAAATAAGAGGACAGCACAGACACACCTGGAAGGACTTGGGGTTGCACCTGCTAGTGAAGATGGCAAACGGGGTGCTCAGCTTGAGTGTGAATCTGCCATTCATCTGCACAGAGAATATTGTCTATCCAGGGGAACGAGTGGGAAAGTGTGTGTGTGCCAGTGAACATTTTGTGGCACATGGAGTTTCCATGTATCCAAGGGGAAGGTGTTCTGATGGAAAGAGAGCATGGAAGTCCCAGCATGTGTTACTCTTTGTGGGCCACATAGGTGTATGGCCTGACATATATGATGATAGGCGTGTCCTGGTGGCCAGCTGTTCCCGTGAAGCCCCTACAGTATGCCATTGTGAGTGTGGGTGTAGGTGACATGTGGGATGTATCTCACCATTAGGTTGAGTGTGTATGCGCGCATCTGGCTAATTTGTGTGTGTATCACTGCAGTGGTGAGTAACATGCACCCTGGGGTCATTGCTAGTGTTCTTGGCTGTGTCGCCTGTGTGTCCAGAGCATGTATACAACTGCACCCATTGATTCCTGCACTTGTATTTTATGACTCATGAAGATAAATGCCAAGAGAACTGACACGACTCCAGAGCTGTTATTGGGTTGCCTGTGGGACATGGTGGGGACACTGGGTTTAGGGCTTGGATTTGGGGATGGGACAAAACGCTCAGTGCTGTAATCCAGGCATGATGCATGGGGGTAGGATTAGAATATATACTTCTGGATGACCAAAGAATCAGAATAAGTGCTGGTACAGAATTGGAGGCTGAGGTAAGAGGACCAAGAGTTCAAGGCAAGCTCTGGCTATAAAAGACACATTGGGGTGGGCAGTGAGCTGGCTCAGAATTTAAAAAACTTTACTGAGCCTTACCTGAGTTCTACCCCTGGGACCCACACAGTGATAGAGAACCACCTCTGACCCGCACACACATACCATGGCATGCACGCGTGAGTGCGCGAGCGCGCGCGCGCGCACACACACACACAAATACTAAAATAAAAATAAAGTTAAAAAACCCAAAGGAATATATATCCTACCTCAGAGACACTTGCTCATCCATGCAATGCATAACAGAATAGAGCTTATTGCTGCTCTACTCACAATGTAGTGCATATATAATACACGATGGGGTTTATTCAGCACCAAAGGAAAGTGAAATCTGCAGGAAAATGAATGGAACTGGAAGTCATTCTGTTAAGTGAAATAGGCCAGACTGAGAAAGACAAAGACTATATGTTGCCCCTTATATGCAAAGTCTAGCTTCACACACACACACACACACACACACACACACACACACACACACACACACACACACACACACACACACACACACGAATTATGTAGCCGGGCAGACACGCACGCCCCCTTGCGGCTGCTCTCCTGCACAGCCTGGGTGTGCTCTCCTCTTCCCCTTGAAACTCGAGCTCTTCTTGGCACTCTTTATGACTCAAAGCGCTTGCAAACGGTGCACCCGGTGCACTTTGGGTGAGAACCCTGGCCCTGCCTGCACTGGCCTCATCCATTCCCTGTGCATCTCAGCTGCATCTACCATTCTATCAGCTTTGGATTGTTCTGGGGATGACGGGGAGGGAGGAAGGCACCGGTCCTGGAGCAGCTCAGCTCAGCATCACAGAGCATACAGGTGGAGGGGTCTCCCACGCGTCGTTCTGCACAGGCCCCTTCTCGGCTGGCGTGAAGTACGGCCCAACCGCACACCTGCAAACCCAGGTGCATGCGTAGTGGGGAAGGACTCTTGACTTTAACCCAATTCCCCAAGACTGTCGTTGCCTCACCCAGAGAAGCGCCGGGGCCCCGCGTCGCCTCCGCTTCCGAGATCCTTTCCTGGAACCTTCCACTACCGCGGGTCCCCCCCCTTCCCGTCCCCCCACTTTCCCGTCCTGCCCCCCCCCCGCCTCTCCTTGGTCTGCCGTGGCTTCCTGCTGTGGCGATAGTTTTCTCTAGGTGGAGACCGCCCTTGTCTTCTTCCAAAAAGGTTAATGCAATGGGGCAGAACAGGGTCCTGGCAAGGGGACCGACCACCCGTGGGGAGGTGGCTTCACCTTCTGATGATGTAATTCCCCTCTCCTCTGAGCTAATTAGGCTCAGCGCAGTCTATACACGCGCGCGCGCGCGCACACACACACACACACACACACACCCTTTTCTTTTTTCTTTTAGGTTGATGGCCACAGTCTGAGTGTGCTGTAATCCCCTAATGGTCTGGCTTGGGTTCCTAAGCTTTTTTCTAACGCTCCAGCCCCCACCACTGTGTGGCTGACCTCCATGACAGCTTATTGTCTTTGTTCTCCTAGGGCACCTTGCCTGCCCTGAAACATACAGTTTGCCCCGCCCTGGGCTTTTCATTTTAAACTCGACTATTCCGGTTGAGTCTGCTCTTCCTGCCCCGGTGTGTTGATTTCTGACTTTTTGTTCTGGCGCTAGGAAGACTTCATAGACTTCTATCATAACAGAGCATAGTATTTGGGGGACATAAATCTGTTCCCCCTGCCATGACCATTGATAATTTGCCTCCAGAATAAACTATCTTTTATCTCTTTTAAAGTGAGAGTTGTGTGTTTACACTGATGGGGCAGAGGCAGGAGGATTGCCGCAAGTTCAAAACCATCTTGGGATATATATATATCTGGCCAGACTTAAAAAAAACAAACAAACTGTAATTATGGTTATTTTGGGGGTTATTGGATAGTGGTAGATGCCAAACACTTGTCAAATACATTGGCAGAGATATCAGGTAGGCAGGCGACAAAGTGGAGAAATCTCTGCTACCGGTCTCAGAGGTTATCTGATGACGACAGTGTTTCAGTTCCTGGACCCCAGCGTTCTGCCAGTTGCTACCTTCATAAATGGCACACAAAGAGAACCCAACTTGAATTGTACTTATGCCCTGGAGCCGCAACATCCCAACCTCCCCACCATCCCCAATCTCTAGTCAGTGGATCAGCCTTGCAGAAGGTTCCGAGGCAGATGAAGTTCCTTGTTCACAGCCTCCAGCACGCTCAGGTTACAGGCAAGCACCACCACACTCAGCAATAGTTACCCTTTTTGTTGCTGTTGTTTTGAGACCAGTAGACATTTTCACTGATGTAAACTGTGTTGTAATTCAGCCAAACCTGGCCCCGCCTTTCACCCGCCTGCGCATGGCCGCTGTATGTATGTATTTAAAAGAAAGACCCCGCCCACCTCTCTCTCTTCCCCGTTGTTTCCCTGGGGCAGACAGGACTTTTCCTGTCTCCCTCTTCTCCTCTGTCCTCTCTGTCTCTGTGTCTCTTTACCTCTTTTCTCTCTCCCCTCCCTTTCTAATAAAACTTCCCACTTTAACTCTGCCTGACATGTTCGTCTCTCCACCACCATGGAGTCCGCTAAGGTCCCCCACAAGTTTTATTATAACAACTGGGTAAATGGAAGGATGTTAATACTCATTGACTTCCAAGATTGACCTGTGGGCCTGGAGTGCGCCAGCAACGCCCGGCTCCCTTTTTCTCTTCTTAAAAAATGACAACTGCAAGGTCATTTGCTTCTGTTTTTCGGCCAGAATCAGAAAGAAGTCACTTTGATTTTTCTTCCCCGCTAAATAAAGGATGTTAATAAGGCTGTGGGGTGTGGTTTGTGCCTAATCCAGGCTCTGGAAGGGAGCCCCACTGTGCTCCTTTAACCACTGAGACATCTCTCCAGCCCCCAAAATGTCATGAAACATTTAACAAACAGTGTTGTGGGCCAGGGGCTTGAAGGGCTGTAGCAGCCCCGAGCATGGCAAACATGGCAGGCAGGTATTGCCCTGGCACCTTCCTTGCTAAACCGTTAGTCCCCAAGGTCTATTCCATTATTTGGCCACTGACTCATTCCTGAGGCTGATCACCAAGGTCCAACTATCAAAACATCAAGGCCCTGCAATCAGAATTATTATACCTGGTCAGAACTTACCAACACATCCTAGTTCATTCAAACACAGACCTCCCCCTTCTCCCTCTTATAACTAACACCTGCTGCTGTTTCTGCTTGATTGAGATTCAGCCACCTTGTGTCTTCGTCTTGCTTAATAAAGGGTCTCCGTGTTTGGTTTGTGCTTGGAAATTGGTGTTTGGGTGTGGTCTGTGCCTCATCCAAGGTCTGGAGGGGGCAACTCGAAGTACAAGGGTTCCTCCAGGAATGATTCCCTCTTTAGAGTGCCCACTGCACAAGGATGAGGGCCGACCTCAATTCCCAGAACCCTTATGAAAGATCAGACATGTTAGGATACAACCGTAATCTCAGTGCTGAGGAGACAGAGCCAGGGGACCCCTGGGGCGCATGGTCAGTCACCCTGGCTGAACTGGGGAGTGCCAAGTGCCAGCAGGAGACCCTATTTAAAAAATGAAACCAAAACCAGGTGTGGTGGCACATGCATTGATATTTTGCACAATCAAGAGGCAGAGGCAGGCAGAGCTCTGAGTTTGGTGTCAGCCTGGTCTAAACAGCCAATGTTGACCTCTGGCCGTCTCCTTTTCCTTCTCCTCCTCTCTCATTGTGTAGCCCTGGCTGACCTGCAACTCCCTATGTAGGTCAGGCTGCCCTTAATCCACCTGTCTCTGCCTATTGAATGCTGGTATTTATTGAAGGTGTGTGCCCTCTATGCATGGTTACATTCACATTTCTGCATATAGCTGCACTCATACACAGACAGACAGACAGACAGACACACACACTATTAAAATGAGCTTAGAATTGAGGGTGTGGTTCATCCACAGAACATTTGCTCAGCACATGTGTGCCCTGAGCTCCAGACCTAGCACAGAAAAAAAAAGCCCAAACAATTTAGCTTCCTGTTTTACACATTGTAAAACGTGGCTGCTAGGAGGCTTGAAGTTAAGCATGTGGGTCTGGAACACGGACGGCTGAGGGGCAAAGCACTTGTCTTAACACGTGTGGGGCCCCGCGTTTCATCTCCAGCTCTGGAAACGAAATCAACCAAACATGCAGCTGTTGGAGAGGTGAGTGGACTTCGGGAGGAAATGACCTACATTCTTCTTGCCTTTTGCATGTCCTCTTATCAAGGTGGCTAAACACGGGAAGAGCTGGGCACACACATATGTCATCCCGGTGTCCCGGAAGCCAAGGCATCTGGATTTTGTGTCCAGCTTGGGCTACACAGCCAGGTTTTTTCAAACAACCAACAACTAACCGATAAACAGCACAATTAGTGGCTAGGAGGAGTCTCAGTGGATAAAGTAGAAGCATGAAGACCTGAGTTTGATACCCAGTGCCTACATTAAAAAAAAAAAAAAGGCTGGGTGTGTGGTGCTGGACACTGTCTTTTGTTGTTGTTGTTGTTTTGTTTTTTGAGACAGGGTTTCTCTGTATTGTTTTGGAGGCTGTCCTGGAACTTGCTCTGAAGAGCGGGCTGGCATCGAACTCACAGAGATCCGCCTGCCTCTGTCTCCCGAGTGCTGGGGTTAAAGGTGCGAGCCACCAACGCCCGGCTCGGACACTGTCTTAAAAGTAAGGTCCAGAGCGATAGAGATAGCCGCTCAGCGTCAGCCTCTGGGCTCTCCACACAGGAGCGTGGGCACAGACACACAAGGGACACAGACACACAAAGGGTGTCAGACAGCTCTGCAGGTAAAAGTGCCGCCTGCTGCTGAGGCCGATGGCCTGGGTTTGGTCCTCATGGAAGCGGAGAATCCACTCCTGCAAGCTGTCCTATGACTTCCACTCCTAGCGATACTAATACACACACACACACACACACACACACACACACACACACACACACACACACACACACACGACAATTACATACATGTAACCCTATTTTTGTTACTGAAGCCACAGCTTTTGTGGAAGATGGAAAAACACGCCCAGATTAAGTGTCCTTCATCAGAGGTAAAATACATGTCTGGGTGAACCGCGAGCAAATACATCCCACCTACACCTCACGGATATTCATAAGAAATCTTGTGCCAGGAGGCATGCAAGTGCTCGTGCTCTAGGCCAACTCCCAAAGCAAGATCTCCTAGCCCTGAGGTGATCAGAGCTCTGGGGTCGCGGGCCTGGGAGCTGGGAGGACGCGCGCGCCCCCTCGCGGCCGCTCTCGGTCACCCGTCACCCCGCCCTCCGTGCGCTCAGGCTAACCACACACGCCTGCGCACTCAGGGGCCTTTTACGACGCCGTCAAGAAGTTCCGCGGAACCTATAGCAGCCTGCTTCCGGTTGAGACGTTTCCCGGCCGGAGACCCTACTCTTTTTACCTCTGTGCGTCCGGAGCAGCGTTCCCGGGTCAGTCTGCTTTGGGTTTTCAGGGTGATGCGGGTTCGGGGTCCTGGCCCTCGAACAGCTCAGCCGAGCAGCCGTGTGGCGCGCTCTGCACGGTCTCCTCTCCAGGATCCTGGTCCCCCAAGACCGGGTCCCTAGGACACGCTTTGTGGGGGCGGACTGTCGGCTCCAGTCCATCCCCCAGGAGTGACCAAGGCTGCACCCGGAGACGCGTCAGGGCGCAGCTCCTCCGGGAAGCCTTTCCTTCAACCTCCGGATCCCATTTCGGTTTCCACTCGCAGCTGTGGCTCCCTGCTGCAGGCACGGGAGGCCCAGAGGCTCCCAGCACCGCCGCCCGCTCCTCCACTAGTTTCCCCACCATCCATGCAGCTTCCTAGAGTTTGTGGGAGTGCGACCTCCCGACGGGATGTCTTCTTTAGTTCAGGGGTCACCGTGGAGATGGCTTCCTTCCTGACAAATTGACACCTTCGTCTCCCCCACTACCCCCCGTGCTCCGATATAGGGTCGGGGATTTTCTGCACACTCTCCTGGCCTGGCCATGACTCACCCCTGTCCCTTTCTGTCAGGCTCTTGCTTTCCTGGAGGGGTTGAGCAGGAAGGTCTTCAGGGCAGTCAGGGCTGGAGCACACGCCAGCCAGGGAGAACATCTTTGACCTCTCCACTCCTCAACCCTCCGCGTTAAAGGCGGGGCGTATTAGTGCTTTTCTCATCGTTGCTGTAGTCAGATACCTGACAAGAAGCCACCACAAGATGGAAAGGTTTGTCAATAGGACCGTTGACAAGACATGGCAGGAGCCCGAGGCAGCTGGCCGCATTGCACCCACAGGCAGAAAGCAGAGAGGAGTGGTACGATCAGATGACTCAGCCCTTTTTATTCAGCCCTACGGGGTGGTGGCCGCATTCCGAGTGGGTCCTCCCTGAGTTAAACGTATCTGGACATCCAGAGTGTGTTTTCCATGGTGAATCTAAGTCTAGGTAGTGAAGATGAACTGTCACGCGGGGTTTCACTGTGGCCTAGGCAGTCCTGGAACTCACTCGGGCTGGCCTCTTTCTGCCATCATACTGCCTCAGCCCGAGTGCTGGGGCTACAGGTGTGCACCTCAACACCCAGTTTCATGTCACCTCTGTGTGCCGTCTTAAGTTTTAGCCATTCCCCAGCCATGTGCTAACTTCATAAAAGTTGCGTTTTTAAAAGTCATTTCGTGTTTGTGTGTCCGTGAGCGTGCATGGAGATGAGAGGGTGACTTTTGAGAGAGTTCTCTCCTCCCACTGTGTGAGTTCTGGGGATCAAACGGGTGTCAGGCAAGTGTCGTTACTCTGAGCCCGTCTTGCCAGCTCCGTGATGGTTCTTCAGGACAACTCTTTATTTGAGGTTTATGTGTGTGGTGTCCTGCCGGCATATATGTATGTGCACCATGTGTGTGCCTGGTGCCTTCAGCGGGCAGAATGTCTCCTAGAACTAGTTACAGAAGGCCACAAATCACTCTATGAGTGCCGGAATTCAAACTCAGGCCTTCTACAAAGCAACAGATGATCTTAATTCCTGAGCCATCTGTTTTTTGAGACAAGGTCTCATATAGCCCAGGTGCTCCCAAACTCCATACATAGCAGAGGGTGACTCCCAACACCTGATCTTTCTTCCTCTGCTTCCACCTCCTGAGTCCTGGGATTGCAAGATGTGTCACTATACCTGGCTTTATGTGGTGCTGGGGATTGAACCTAGGATTTCATGCATGCTAGGTAGGTGAGCACGGGCAGACTGAGCCGTATCCCCAGCTCCAAGTGCTTCTCCTGAGTAAGAAATCTCTTGGGTCTCCAACTTGGGCGTAGTTTCCATTGCTCCCCTCTAAAGATTTCTTTTTAATTTTTAACTGTGTTTATCCGTGTGTGTCCGAGTGTGGGTTTGTGCACGCAAGTGCAGTGCCAGCAGAAGCCAGAGGATTGCTTCTCCCTGCAGGTGGAGTTACAGGTGGTTGTGAGCCACCCGAAGTGGATGCTGGGAACTGAACTCAAGTGCTTTGCAAGAGCAGTCCATGCTCTAAGTACTGAGCCATCTCCCCATCACCTCTCTCTTTCCTCACTGGCTGGCTGGATGGGAAAGTGCTGCCTCTAATATATGCTTGCTTGCTAATCCTTACGGGGTTAGCGTTCCTTCTTATCTCGTTGGTACTGTAGTGTCCAACGCTGGGGCAGACGGGTTATGTGGGTTTCCTGGAGCCCCTTCTGGGTCTCTCTTGGTACCAGGTCTCATCCATCCATCCCTCCCCTGACTTTTGGTCTTCCTGCAGGGCGGCAGCATGGAGGCGCGTTTCACGCGCGGGAAGTCAGTGCTGCTGGAGCGTGCACTGGTGCGGCCGCGCACCGAGGTGAGCCTGAGTGCCTTTGCCCTTCTTTTCTCCGAGCTGGTGCAGCACTGTCAGAGCCGCGTCTTCTCAGTGGCCGAGCTTCAGGCACGCCTGGCTGCCCTAGGCCGCCAGGTGGGCGCCCGAGTCCTGGATGCCCTGGTGGCCCGCGAAAAGGGTGCCCGGCGGGAGACCAAGGTGCTGGGCGCGCTGCTGTTCGTCAAGGGCGCAGTGTGGAAGGCTCTGTTTGGCAAGGAGGCCGACAAACTGGAGCAGGCCAATGATGACGCCCGCACTTTCTACATCATCGAGAGGGAGCCGCTCATCAACACCTACATTTCGGTGCCCAAGGAGAACAGCACGCTCAACTGTGCCAGCTTCACGGCGGGCATCGTGGAGGCTGTGCTCACGCACAGCGGCTTCCCCGCCAAGGTTACAGCGCACTGGCACAAGGGGACCACACTCATGATCAAGTTCGAAGAGGCGGTTATCGCCCGAGATCGGGCCCTGGAGGGACGCTGACTCCACAGGAGATAAAGGATGAGCAGATCCCGTTCCAGGCTCGTGTTGTTGTCTTGTGTAGGGGCACCATATCTGCCCACACTCTGATCCGGGTCTTGAGTCCGAGTCCCAGGCTGAGGGATTCCGAGGCAGGCGTGTGAGGCACAGGTGGAGACTGAACAAGTGGACAATGGGCTGACCTAGCTTCTGGCTCTCAGGTGTGGGTGGAGGGTTGGGTATACTGGGGAGGTAGGGCACCTGTGAAATTATAGTTGGAGCCTGCATGCAGGGATATGAGGTTAAGAGGGACCAAGGCCTGGCAAACTGCCAGTGCTGTAGCTCAGTTGCTGGAGTGCCCTGGGTTTGATTTTCTTTTTAATGCCACAAAAATTGGGCATAGTGGTGCAGATTGTCTCATCCCAGCACTAGGAAGGTAGAGGGAGAAGGATCAGAAGTTCAAGGCCGTCTTCCGATACTTAGCAAGTTTGAGACCAGCTTTGGCAGCATGGGATTCTTTCTTAAACAAGTTTCAGGCAGGGGTACTTTTCCTTAATGTATATTTTCTCAAAAAATAGTAGATAGTAAAGGAGAGGGTGTGACTGTGTGCCTAAAAATGTATGTGGAGAGTGATTCTCCTTTTAGACCTTTGCTACTCAAGGTGGCTTGTGGCGGGTCAGCATGGAACAGACAGCATCAGTATCCCTTCAACACCAACATCAGTAGAAGCATCAGCACCAGTGTCTCACACGCAGAATCACTGGCCCACCTTATACTGTTGGACTGGAATTTGCATCCTAGCCCCATTCCCAGAGGAGTCCCTCAGTCTTTTATTTTGAGAAGTAGTGCTTTAGGGCATCAGAGTCACATGGAGGATTTTTTAGAACTCAGGTGGTCGGGCCCTACCCCTACAGTCATGATTCTGCAGTTTTGGGGTGTGCCTAAGAATTTGTTTCTGGTACATTCTGGAGAGCTGCTGGGTTTCCCAGGGATCACACTGAGAACAAATGGCACACCAGCCTCTCAAAGGGGGAAGAGTCCAAACCCATCCAGAAAAGTTATATATATATATATATGTTTTTTTTAAAGACGGTTTCTCTGTATAGCCTGGCTGTCTTAGAACTCTCTTTGTAGACCAGGCTGGCCTTGAATTTACAGAGATCCATCTGCCTCTTCCTCCCAAGTGCTGGGATTAAAAGTCACCACCACCACCACCATCACCCAGTTTAAGGTTAGTATTTTTAAAATTTATTCTGAGACAAGTTGCTGTCAGCCCACACCAGCTTTGAGCTTGCTATATGTTCCAGGATAACCACAAATTCCCAACACTTCTGACTCTACCTGAGGTTGGGTGTTTAACTTAGTGGCTTGTTACATTATTTTAGAGAGTCTCAACTATGTAGTCGTGGCTGGCCTGGAACTCACTATGTAGACCAGGCTGTCCTCAGACTTTGAGATCTGCATATCTCCTTAGTGCTGGGATTAAAGTTGTGCACCACCACCCCTGGCTTTTTTTTTTTTAAAGACATATATATGTTTGTTAGTTTGAATGCAGGTGACTGGAGGCCAGAAGGGGGCATCAGATCCGAGATCTGTTGCAGGTGGTTGTGAGTCATCTGATGTGAGTGTTGCCATCTGATCTCCCATTCCTAGGAGGAGTGGTGTGTTCCTAACTGCTGAGGCATGTCTCTAGCCTCCACCTTGTTTTTAAAATTATGTTTATTTTGTGTGTGCATGTGGATGTGAGAGGTCGTCCTCAGGTGCACTTCACCTTAAACATTTAAAAATGGGCTTACATGTTTAAGTGTGTGCGCTGCACAGGCCACAGGGTAGTGTGGAGGAAAACTTTTGAGACCTGATTCTTTCCTTCCACTGCATGAGACTCAGGAGACTCAGGGATTGAACTCAGGTCATCGCTGGCCCTCCTCTCAGCTTTATTTGGGTCTCACTGATTCGCCCAGGCTGGCCCAAAGCCACAGTTCCAAATTTACTTGGATTATAAGCAAGTACCAACACGCCTGGCTGGGAATCCCATACTTCCGAGCCTCACCCACACATACCTAGCATGTTACGGTGACAACATAGGAAAAGAAGTAACCAAGATATACAAGGTGTAAAATTCCGTATCAGTTACGCTGCATTCTCAAAGAGGGTCTTGGGCACCAGGTCTCTGAAACTGTCAGCTACCTGCCACACCTGGAGCACTCCTGGTGCGGCCTCCAAGGAGGGGGAGTGCTGGGGACCAGCCGTGATCCCTTTTCGCTGATGCACACAAACTTGCGGGGGGGGGGGGGGCGGGATTTGCTGCCAGACCCTGGGGAGAGGGAACCTCTGCTCTGTGGGGCAGTGAGGGGAAGAAGGGGAAAACTTGATGGGAGGAGTAGGAAGTCCCCTGAGAAATCTTTCTCAGCTCCCTGGATGGCTCAGCTGCCCACACGCATGCTGCATGGCAGGCCTCAGGTGTGTGGAGGGCAGAGGGGATGAGACATCAGCTTAGTTGGATGGGGAGCTGTATCTACCAGCTGCTTCAGTATGGGTCATGGAGGTTTTTGGTCACAAAGGGGCCCAGGCCTTGATAGGGCAATCCTCAGGGCTTGGCTGTTTCAGTATGGGTCATGGAGGTCTTTGGTCACAAAGAGGGGCCCAGGCCTTGATAGGACAATCCTCAGGGCTTGGCTGTTTCCATGATGCAGGTGGGAGAGAAATCCAGAAGAGGGTGACAGAGGCTTGTCAGGGTTCATTACTTGGAGTGGGTCCTGTTGGACTCACAGAGGCTGAAGGGGCAGATGCCTCACATGTGGCCAGCTGCTCACACACCCAGGCATCCAGGAAGCTGCGGCAGGAGTTGTCATTCCACTGGCCGGATCCCCGCATCATCACGCAGTCCTCACCCTGCTCTGCATTGTTGGGCTCCCCTGGACTCCAGTTGCTGGAACAAACACTCCACTCATAGGAACATCACGAGGGAGGTGTCCCTTCTCTAGAGGTCCTCCCCTATTAAACTCCCTTCTTAGCAAAGGTTCCCCCGTTTGGGGTCTGTGCCTGGGTCTCCCCCATTTCTGTACTCTATGTATGCAGCCCAAGGCCCTCCTTTCCAGTCTACGCTTGCTGCTTTCTGCCCCAGGCCCTTCATCCTTTCCTTGTGGCTAAGGAATCCAGGAAGTCTAGACCCCAGGGCTCTCTCCTTCATCTGTAGCCTATAGGACCCTTTCCCTGAGCCCTGGACTCCTCCATGAGGTACTTATCCAGGGACCTGTTCCCTCCTCGGTGTTTCCCCCCCATCTTGTCTCCCACAGGCCCCTTACCTGTAACCCACAGGGCTCCCATCCATCCATATGAACTGTCCCTCCACATTGAGATCCCGGAGGCCAATCCAGGCATCCTTGTTAATGTGTTTCATCAGGAAGTCCTAGGGGGAGATGCACATGGTCCGTCCCATCCATTTCAGAAGGTCAGGGTGGGAGGCCTCTCGCCTCGCCCCCCCCCCCCCCCCCACTGCCCATAGTATCCATGGAAGCCAGCCACCTGCTCCTCCTGACTGTGAATGCTGACTAGCCGCCCTTCCAGGTCGCTGCAGGCAAATCTGGCCTGGATCCACTGCTTGGAGCCCTTGCCAAAGTAGTAGCACTTCCGTTGGAAATGGAGCCAGTTCTTGGGACATGTGCTGCATGCAGCTCCTGGGGGAGGGGGTGGTCACAGAGAAGAGAGGCTCAGGAGCGTGTGGTGGGCCACCCCGGCCCCCAAGGGCAGAGTATGCATGCGTACGGTAGTGTCTCTTCTGCAGTCACCCAGGGATCTGGGCCGGAAGAACTGTCCTGTCCCTCCAGGCTTAGATCCCAGCAGCCGGTCTGCAGCTTTCTTTGTGGGATCTGGCCAGTTCATTGGTGGGGCTATCTCAAGTCACCAACTCTATCTCCGAAGCCACCCCGGTGGTTAGCAGAATGGCAGTTGTCACTAACCTCATGAATACCTCAACCACTGGCACCAGCAATGAACAGCCAAGGCCAACCACAACTCAGCCCCTAGCATTATGTAGCACTGCCAGTTGCTAACACCTCCATGATTGGCAACACCTCAGCTATCAGAACTGTAACCACAGACACCCCAGCCACAGACACCTCCACCACCCCACCACACAGATACCTCAGCCACCTCAGAGCAGAGATGACAGTGATCAAGAGCAGGCATGGCTTTTGCAGAGGACCCAAGTTCAGTTCCCAGCACCCACAGTAGCTAGTTCACCACTGCCTGTAACTCCAGCTCTATGGACCTGGCATCTGCAGGCACCTTAAACTCACTGCACCTCTCCCTCTCCCTTCATTATTAACAGTAAAATAATTATTAAAAGTATATTTATCTAAGAAATGAAAAGAGCAAGGGAGGGAGGGAAAGAGATTGGAAGAGAGAGATTGAGACTGGAAAGTTTCCTGACTGTGACACCTAGGGACAGTACCAGGGCTGAGCCCAGACGCCAGGGTGTAGGATTTGTATGTGGGAGATGTCTCAGTGAGTGAAGCACTGAACAGGTGTGAGGCCTGAGTGTGGAGCTCATGGATGGATGCTCCTGTAGTTCTAGTATCCTGTGGTGAAGCAGTGCGTGTGTGTGTGTGTGTGTGTGTGTGTGTGTGTCTGTGTGTCTGTGTTGTATTTGGTGTGTGTCTGTCATCTGTGTAGGTGATGTGTATGTATGTGGTGTGTATGCAGTCTGTATTTGGTGTGTGTGTATGTGGTGTGAATGCAGTCTGTGTATTTGGTGTGTGTGTATGTGACATGCCTATTTGGTGTATGGGTATCTTCGTAGGTGTGTGTATGTGGTGAGTGTATATGGTATGTGTGTATCTGAGGTATGTGTGTATAGTGTGATGTGCGTTTGTGTATGTGTGTATCTGTAAAGTGTTGTTTTCTGTTTGTGGTGTGTGTGTGGTGTATATGTGTATAAATGTGGGTTGTGTGTGTATGTATTGTGCGTGGTGTATATGTGAAGTGTGTGGTGTATGTGTGTATATGTGAGGTATGTAGTATGTGTATGTGTGGTGTATGTGTATGTGTGAGGTGTGTGGTGTGTGTATGTGTGGTATATGTGTGAGGTGTGTGATGTGTGTATGTGGTGTATGTATGTATGTGTGAGGTGTGTGGTGTGTGTATGTGTGGTGTATGTGTGAGGTGTGTGATGTGTGTATGTGTGGTGTGTCTATGTGTGTGGTGTATGGTGTGTGTATGTGTGGTGTGTCTATGTGTATGGTGTGTGTATGCATGTGTGTACTCAGAGAAAGGGTAGGAGGTGAGAAATCTCTGAGCAGTGAACATGGCCTTGAGTCTGTCCATCCTCTGCCACAAGAAACCACAGGGGTTTTCTGCTGGGATCCCCAGAGCCACTCGTCCCAAGGGATGGGGGCTCCTTCCAGCCAAGCGAAGTTCCTTCCTCTCCCTTGTCCTATGAGGCAGCTGGGGCTTTCCAGAAATGGAAGGGAAAGGTCAAGGGCAATGAAGCAATGTTTCTGCACAGAGTGCAGCACTGTGACCTCATTCTTATCCCGTCACAGGCTCTACAATGGCTTGTGGGCAAACGTGGTGGCCTCTGGTGTCAACATTACCTCCCTGGTGGAGATGTCATGTCCCTCAGCACCCAGTGGGTCAGTTCATCAGGCTGCTGTGGTGAGCGTGAGGTGGGACACAGGAGAGGGAACTTTATTGGGACTTGAAAAAAGGAAGGAGCCCCTCTGCTGGAGGCTGGAAGGAGCCTCTCAACAGCACAGAAGCAAGAATTTCAGCACAATTAGCATTTGCTTTGGAGGCTGCCCGAGTGGAGACAATGGCATGGATATCTCTATATTCTTTCCATATATGATATCTTCTTTAAAGCAACGAATTGGCTCAAGGTCTGGTCAAGGTGTGTGCTTTCAGGTTGGACTTCATCCCTCTGCCAGCTAAATTCTAGAACTCCCAAGTAAGACCGCTGATAGTTTACAGTAAGAATGTCCTGTCTTCCTGCACAGTGACCTTTCACCTCATCAATCGTAACCATCTTGGGAACTGCCCTGGGATCTCACTTAAATTCTCTGGACTGAGCAAGCATGAGGACTTCAGTTCCAATCCCCAGAACTGATTAAAGCCAAACATGGCAGCACACACCTGGACTCCCAGCATCCCCAGGGCGAAGTGGGAGGAGGCAGACATAGGAGAACCCCTGAGGCTGGGAACCAGTAGCCTGGCTTACGAAGCGGCTAACGTCCTGTCTCAAATGAGATGGAAGGCAAGGACTGACACCTGAGGTTGTTCTCTGACTTCCACATGGACCATGACCCATGTGCACACCCCCACCCCCACCACATACACACCTATATCCCCAGCTCCCCCCACCACACAGAAACACACACACACACACACACACACACACACACACACACACACACACACAGAGTCAGCGGGTGTTGAGGATAACTTTCAAAACTCACTAAATCCCAACTGAGATTATTGGGGAGAGCAAGATGCAGCTGCTTGAGAAGCCCACACCCGACTCAGCCTGTATTAGGGCTAATGAGATGGCTCAGTGGGTAAAGGAGCTTGCTGCCAAGTCTGAAGACCTGAGTTCAAATCCCAGAACCCATGTGGTAGAAGAAGAGAACCAACTCTTGAAAGTTGTCCCCTGACCTCCAGATATATGCCCTGGCATGCATTCCCTCTACCCTTACATACATACACATAAAATAAATAATATGTAAAAATAATTTGAAAACTCATGTTGAAGTCTTTCTGGATAAATTCCAGTTCCCTTCACACTGGCTTGTCCTGAAATTCTCTGAGCTGAAGACAAAGAGCCTGTATTACCTGAGTTGAGGTCCCTAGAGAGTTAAGGAAACTCCTCGGGTTGCAGAGCTGTCCCTCTGTCCCTCTGTCCCTCTGTCCCTGACATCCACGATAGGGCTGCTGAGGACCGCATCCTCACTAAGCCTGGGCGGGCAGACAACAGTATTGGAGGGAAGCTGGAGGTGGTTAGCTTTACCAGGAGGAGGAAACCAGTGTGGACCCCACCCCATCAGCAGAGGGTGCTCTTCTGAGTCCCCATCTGTCTTGGTCTCAACGTAACTCAGATCGGAGCACATCACACAAACCCACAAGTCACAGCATGCCACACAATTGTATCAGCACAGCCTCCTCGTGTGCCACACAGGATGCCACGGGATGTGGTTACGGGCCACCGCGGGTCAGACTCACCCTTTGATGTTAACATCTCTATCCACAGCTTCGCCACCTCTTCCTGGAGTTTCTCCAGAGAATCTGAGGCCACGCGCTTCTCATTCAAGCCTTGGGGGCGGGGTGGGGGGAGTAGGTATAGCATTCAGAGACTGACAGACAGCTCCCAGCCCCACCCCCTTCTCACTCAGTTTGCCGTTTTGGCCCGGCCGTTCTCACCCTGGGATTTGACATTGATTAGGTCCTCCTGGAGTCTGTTCAGGTTCTGGGAGAGCTCAGAGTCTGAAAGGTATAGAGGGATAGGTGCAGTTTTCAGAGACTGCCAGACAGCTCCCAGCCCCACCCACTTCTCACTGAGTTTGCCGCCTTCCCCTGCCGTTCCAAGTCTCACTCAGGGATTCCACGTTGTTTAGCTCCTCTTGGAGTCTGGTCAGGTTCTGGGAGAGCTCAGAGTCTGGAAGGAGTATGGCGGGCCTCAGAGATGCTGCGCTGCGGACGGATCATCGCTCCCCATCCCCCGCCCCTCCCCCCATCCTGAGCCTGGCCTCCAGGGCCCCTGTGGTTCTCAGGGTGGGGACTTTCTCTCATCCTGTCTTACCCTGAGCTTTCATTTGAGTCTGTTCAGCCTGGAGCTCTTGCATGCTTTGTGACATTTGAACAGCTGCCCACAGAGCAGAAGAACTCGGTGATGAGAGGTTTCCTGGAGATTCCTCACCCCTGCCTCCACCCCACCTCTCCCTCCGTGGGCCTTAAGGCTGCCGCCTCCAGTCCCTGCTGTGGTTTGCAGCGGGGCAATGGCTGGTCACCACTGAGTAAGCAAGGCCATCCCTGCCTTCCCCCCTTCCCCATCTCAGTTTGACAGGAGGTGACTGGCTCACCCTGGGACTTCTGGGCCAACTGATTACTCTGGTATCTTTGTAAGTCCTTGGAAACGTGAGAGACTGGGCCAAAGGGAAGACGAAGAGAGGGGCTTTTAAGAACCACAAAACCCACCCACCATCCATCCCTTTGCCCTTCCCCTCCAATCCCCTCGTCCTCCCTCTTCTCCCTCTTCTCCCTCCCTCCCTCCCTCCCTCCCTCCCTCTCCTCCCGTCCCTCCCTCCCTCCCCACTACACTGCTCATATTGCTCTCTCAATTTCAGTCCTCCTGCCTCAACCTTCTGACATCACAGGCACCCCCCCCCCCAGTTAAGGCGAGTCATTGTACTTCAGCCCAGTTCTCAGAGCAGGGGCGGCTTTCCCTGTGTTTTGGGTGGAGCAAGGGAGAGGTAGAACAGAGGTAGGTGCTGGAACTAAATGACCGGCTGTGTCCTCTTTTCCCTCTGGGGTTAACTATGAATGCAGTAGCCATGTTTTCTGAGGACCCCCCTTCTCTTTCTTTCTGTTTTTTGAGACAGGGCCTCATGTAGCTCAGGATACTCTGGGACTCAATATGTGGGCAAGGATGAGCTTGACTTCTGATTCTCCTGCCTCCCCTTGGCCAGTGCTGGGACCGCAGGCATGCACTAGGTGCCCAGTTAATGCAACGTTGGGCTGGAACCCAGGGCAGGCCCTCCTCCATCAGCTGAACTGCAAACCCAGGGCAGGCCCTCCTCCATCAGCTGAACTGCAAACCCCGGGCAGGCCCTCCTCCATCAGCTGAACTGCAAACCCCGGGCCGGCCCTCCTCCATCAGCTGAACTGCAAACCCAGGGCAGGCCCTCCTCCATCAGCTGAACTGCAAACCCAGGGCAGGCCCTCCTCCATCAGCTGAACTGCAAACCCAGGGCAGGCCCTCCATCAGCTGAACTGCAAACCCAGGGCAGGCCCTCCATCAGCTGAACTGCAAACCCCGGGCAGGCCCTCCATCAGCTGAACTGCAAACCCAGGGCAGGTCCCCCATCAGCTGAACTGCAAACCCCGGGCAGGCCCCCCATCAGCTGAACTGCAAACCCAGGGCAGGCCCTCCTCCATCAGCTGAACTGCAAACCCAGGGCAGGCCCTCCTCCATCAGCTGAACTGCAAACCCAGGGCAGGCCCTCCTCCATCAGCTGAACTGCAAACCCAGGGCAGGCCCTCCTCCATCAGCTGAACTGCAAACCCCGGGCAGGCCCTCCTCCATCAGCTGAACTGCAAACCCAGGGCAGGCCCTCCTCCATCAGCTGAACTGCAAATCCAGGGCAGGCCCTCCTCCATCAGCTGAACTGCAAACCCAGGGCAGGCCCTCCATCAGCTGAACTGCACCCTTATCTTTCTGTGCTTGTCAGTTCACGCCCGGGTCACAGAAGGGCAAAGGGAGGCACAAAGGTTTTGTAGATATCAGGTTAACAGACAACCAGGCTTCTCCAGAGACTGAAGAAGTTCCCTGCTGGGATGGGGAAGGTATTCTAGACTGTCCATGCATTCCCTATGGAGAAGGCGACACTGATGCAGACCACTGACAGTGGTCAGCTGCAGGACAATGGCAATACCATCCCAACCCCTGCATACTGTTCTGTATGGCGACATCTCCCAGCTGTTTCAGATTCTTCTCCGTTTCCCAGTCTAGGGGGTCATGTGGGAAGAGGAGCAGACAAGGATAGTTACTCATCTCCCCACACCTGGCAGGTGGGGTTGGGGGTACAAGTAGAACCAGGGATGCTGGGTGATGGGGACCTTAAAATGGAGCAGAAGATGGGGAAAATGAGCTCCAAAGAGGGAGTTGGGCTTCCTGGGCATTGGGATGGGAGCAGAACAGCTCGGTGGTTGGGGAGCTTTGGGGGCTGGGGAAGTCCGTACGCCATAGAAGAAGCAGGGTCAGCGTGGCAGCCCACATGGCTGTGCTCAGCAGCCCCACCAGCGCGAGCTGAGTCCCTCGTCTTGCACAGCAGCAGCGCTTCCGAGGAGGCTCCCAGTATCCTGTTGGTAGCACGGAGAGTACTGAAGGGCACAGGGGGTGTGGGCTCCGCCTCTAGCTGTCTCCCCGTCGTTCAGAGTGTCACTGTCCAAAGAGCTCATCTGCAGTCCCACCTGAGGCAGGGGGTCTCAGCGGATCCCAGGCTACCTCCCTCTCAATTTCCCCACGTGTAAACTGCCGCCACCACCGTGTCTATCTGTATGGTGCATGTCCATTAGTCCTCCTGAGCTTGGTCTATCTCTCCTCACTGAATCTGACTTCAGCCCAGGTCATTTCTGGAGACACAGACAGCCAGGAGCTTCTAACCTTTCCCTCTTGCAATGCTGGGTCCCCTAGCCTCACCTCTACAGTCTGTTCTGACCCCCAACCCTCTGTGATTATACCTTCACCCTCGGATCCTGGCTACTCTGGTGTTTGTCACAATGCCGAGCCCCTTCCCTAGTCATAAGACACGATATCCCAATTTTTACTTCATATGGAAGTCCAGTCCCCAGATACCACACTCTCCAGGCTTCACCCCAGTCCCTGAGCTCCCCCAAGTCTGTCTTGATGTTCCCTATGCAGCCTCCCCTCCTTCCTTACCCTGGTCTTGAGACCTCATTCTGAATTCCGAGTTCCCGTTCAAATTGGTCTTCCCCTCGGTGTGACCCTGAGCTGTCCAGCCGGGACTGGGTTTTGTTGGGAGGGAGTTGAGTCACAGAAGGGAGAGGCCCTGGGTTTCCGTTCCCTGGCTGTGTGCCACCGGCCTCAGCCAATGCTCACCTCCACACTTCCCCCTCCCTCCTGGCTGTTCCTGGAGACTCACCCTCTAGGGTGAAGAGGGACTGAAGAGGTCCCACCTCCTCAGGCAGATGAGTGCCAGCATCAGAACCCCGGACACTTCTTACCCGAGTATTCATGCTCCTCCATGGCAGTCCTGCTTTGGAGATGGCGCATGCACGACTGCCCAGGTGGTCTTCACTCCACAGTTCGTCGCAGCTCTGGAAGTGACTGGGTTTCAGTGGATATTAGGATAAGTGTCAGACTCTCTAGAGTATAGGACAGCATCGGGGACCTGGAGATCCCAGGAGAGCTGGCTGATTTTGTTTAGTCCAGAAGTTAAAAATGAATGTCATGGTGAGCTTTGGGGATACGGCTGATGTAGCCTCCAAAGCCTGGAACCACAGTCCATATCACACACGAGGCACACAGTAGGTGCTCAATACATGAACAATGTTGGCTACTGATTTAAGCTAGATATGTCTTTTTCATCTGTAAAAAAGGGGATGCTTAGTACCTGTGTATATGTGTGTATGCATTCAGGTACATGTCTGTGCCGGTGTGCATATATATGTGTGGCTCATGCATGTGTATGCTGTAAGCTTGTGCGTGTGTGTTAGTGAACACACCTGTGCACATGTGCACAGGAAGACATCATGGTCTAGCTCACATTCTACTTAATTCCCTTAAGACAGGTCTCTCACTGAGCATGGAGCTGGGTTAGAAGCCAGCAAGCCCCAGCCACCCTCCTGACCCCAGCACTGGGATTACAGGCATGCTTATATGAGCATTCCTGCATCTGCCTGTCTGTCTATCTATCTCCTATTTATATATTATCATCTGTCTATCATCTATCTATCTATCTTCTATCTGTCATCTATCATCTATCTATCTCGTATTTATATATTGTCTATCTGTCTGTCTGTCTCCTATTTATATATTATCTATCATCTATCTATCTATCTATATTCTATCTGTCATCTATCTATCTATCATATCTATCTATCCATCAATCAATATATCTATCATCTATTTATGTCCGGGTGCTGCTTGTCCAGTAAGAGCGCTTACCCACCGAGCCTTGTCTCCAGCCCCCTACCCTGGAGTTTATTTTGAGACAGGATCTCTTAGGGGCCTGGTGTTTGTGGATTGGGTGGGGTAGGAAGGCCAGTGAGTCTCAGGGTTCCTCTTGTGTTCATCTCCCCGCACCAGGACTCCAATCATGCACCACTAGGCCAGGACTTATGCAGGTGCAAGCACTTTCCCACTGAGTCATATCCCTGGCCCTGTCTAGCACACTTAGCAATGCCGTTGAGGCCATGCCAGGCCCATTTGGATGTGCACAGCATCCATTGTGAGCACACACTCCAAATGCCAGTGGCTCTGGTTATAGTCTCGGTTAAAGACTCCATTTCTGTCAGGCTCAGAGATGGCTTTCCCAGCTTTTCTCCCTAGTATTTTGGCTCCTAAATTAAAACATACTTTTAATTCAATCCTTCTTGGCAGTGGTTTGCTTTTCTTTTTTTGGATGTCTTGTGAAGCTCAGACTAAGAACTTCTGATCTTCCTGCCTCACTTCTCAAGTGCTGGGAGCAGCGGTGTGAACCAGTGTCCAGCAGCACTAGGGATGGACTCCAGGGCTCGTGCTGGGAAAGCAATCAGCCAGCTCCTTCCATTTGGGCTTCAAAGCAACACATATCACAAGCAAGCCTGGCACTCAACAACTGTTTTCTCTTTGCTGTGTGACTACAGGCAGGTCGCATGCCATCTCTGAACCTTGGGAACATGAGGGTCAGCTATCCTCTGCTTAACAGCATCCTAAACCTATTCTGTGGCGAGAGGAAGAGACCAGAGGTGTCACTACTCTTGGGCAGCCGGGTGAACCTCGGCCCGAGGGGGCGGGATCTGGGGCTGAACTAGGCTTCTCCCTGGGAGAGTGACTTGGCTTACTCATTTACAAAAGGAGTGAGCAGCAATATGACTCTATTTGTATACTAAACACGTGTGAGGTCCTCAATACCCCACTGATTGATGCTGGGTGGTGGTGGTGATGGGGGTGAGTTTATCTCAAGTACCAGAGTCATCTGTCACCCCACACAGTGGTGAGAGTGGAATGTTGTATCCCAGCCACTGCATTCTCTGGCAACTTGGCCTTATGAGGGAGTCGGCTTCTTACAGAACATCAGACTCGCGCTGACTTCTGTCTTTCTAATCTGAGAAGTCTTGCCCCTGGGGTGCAACCGTCTCTGGCTTTCCACAGCATTTACTGACCAGCCTCTAGTTTAGCGGAGGCTGTGTCCTTCCTCTGCTCTCTTTCTGTCGCATGCCCTCCTCTATCCTCGTTCCTTCTCTCTTTTCCCTTCCTCTGTCTCCTCTCCCTCCTTCTGTCTCTCACTTGTCTCTCTTCCCGCTCCCGCCCTCCGCTTTCTCTTTCTTTATGTATTCTCTGGGCATCAGTCAGTGGTGTGCTGAGCACCGAGTATGCTTTTTTTCCTTTATACAAACAGAGTCAAATTGTTGCTCACTCCTTGTAAATGAGTAAGCCCAGTCACTCTCCCAGGGAGAAGCCTGGTTTAGGCCCAGGCCCGCAGGCCCAGGTTCATCCCTTAGCTGAGGCTTGTGTACCTCTTGACTCTGTCTACACTGTTGCCCCTGCTTGCCAACTGGGCTCTCTGGTGGTTTATTCGTGTCTTAGTCCAAGGTAGTTTATTTCAAGGAGCTTTGCTGTCCAATACCCATAGCTAGGTCCTGATACAAAGAGACAACACACAGACAGACAGACAGACAGACAGACAGACACACATAGACACAAACTTACTTGAACTTGGAGTCTGTCCTTGTCCTCTTGGTGTGTGTGGGCAAATTGGAGAGGGCAACAGGGCCAGCTTGGTGGGGACACTTCTCTTTTGTGAGCAACTCACTAATGCCTTCTATTCTCACAGACCTAATTATGGGCTTACCACTTGGGCAACCACAGCACACACAATGCCTTTTTTGGTGCTCACCAGAACCTGGGGGAACTCCGGGCTATTATTACCTTTATTTCTCAGGTAAATGAACTGTAGGAGACCCAGCGATGCTAAACAGCACTCTTGATATTCAGAAGGAAGGAAGTGGCATAGTCTAGATAAGAAGCAAAGCCATGGTGGACTGATCACTGTGTGAGGGGAGAGAAGAGAGAGATAGGGAGAGAGGGAAGATGGGGAGAGAGAGGAGGAGGAGGCGGGATAAGAGAGGGAGGGGAGGAGATGGGAGAGGAGTGTGTGTGAGAGAGATACGGAGTGACAGAACGAGAGAGGGGAGAGGCAGAGGAGGAGAGAGGAATTCGAGAGACAGCTACAAAGGAGACATAAAGAGAAAGAGGAGGGCGGGAGCAGGAAGAGAGACACAGGACAGAAGGAGGGAGAGGAGACAGAGCAGGGAAAAGAGAGAAGGGACGAGGACAGAGGATGGCATGAGGTAGAAAGAGAGGAGAGAGGGAAAGGACACGTGTGTGCAGGGGTTGGGGTGGGGATGGGGGACGATGACACTGAGACAGGAGGAAGAGATGTGATTCTCTCTCTCTCTCTCTCTCTCTCTCTCTCTCTCTCTCTCTCACAAACACACACTTGTGTTTAGGCAAGTCTGTAATCCAAGTACTTGGAGGTTGAGGCAGAGTTCAAGGCTAGCCTGGGCTACACAGTGAATCTGAGGCCAGCCTAGGCTATATGGAAAGAATTTATCATAGAACGAATGAAAACTCCAAGTTAAAACAATAAAACACTCAAATATTGACAACCATGTGGCACCAGTTAATTTAGAAGCAATACAGTACTGGAAAAATTCTTAGTGTCTTATATATATTAAAAGTTTGAATTTTCACAACTACCCCAGGAGCTCAATGCTTTGGAAATCAGTGCTGTCTTATGGGAGCCCAGAGATAAGTAACTTGCCCAAGATTGCACAGCTCCTAGGTGGTAGAGCTGGCATTTGAACCTAGGCAGTGTGGGCTGGGTACCTATATCCCTAACCTTGGCACTTCCCCAAGCCTCCAATTAACACACACTTCTCCATACTCCATCCAACCTGGTATTCTTGCTGTGATTGTTACTTTTTGACACAATCAAGAATCAACTGGGAAGAGAGTCTTAATGAGAACTATTTAGATCAGCTTGGCCTGTGGGAATGTCTATGGGGATTGTCTTGATTGTTACATGATGCAGGAAGATTCAGCCCACTGTGGGCGGCGTCATGCTCTAGATAGTCTTGAGCAGTATAACAGCGGAGAGAGGTAGCTGATAGCAAACAAATAAACCTGAACGCATTTGTTTCTCTCTGCTCTTGACTGTGAGTGCCGTGTGCCTAGGAAGCCCCCACCTTAATGGACTTTCCTATAGTAATGGATTTATGATCCCTTTCTTTCCTAATTTGATTCTTCTCTTTTCTTTCTTTTCTTTTTTAAAAAATTTTTTTGGAGATGGGGTCTTTCTATGTAGCCCTATTTGTCCTGGAACTTGCTACATAGACCAGCCTGGCCTCTAACTCACAGAGATCCATTTGCCTTTGCCTGAGTGCTGAGATTAAAAGTGTGTGTCATAATGCTCAGTCCTATTTTATTTTTGCCAATATACATTTTTAATTGAAAATATTGTGATCATGCTTTTCCCATCCTCTAGCTTCTCCCAGATCCTTCCCACCCACCCAACTCCATGCCCTTTCTTTTTCTCTCCTGAAAAATATAAGAAACACACGTGTATACACACACACACACACAAGCACGCATGCACACATGCACGCACGCACACATGCACGCACACTTGCAAACCACATCCCACAAAATAGAAAACAAAATATACAAGCAAAAGCCTAATAAGACAAAAAGTGTCCCAACAGAGCAATATAAGATGAAAAGTCTACAAAAACACCATTGAGTCTGTGTATTGGTCAATTATTCCCAGCCATGGGGCCTGCTCTGAAGTGTGGTTAGTATACCTAATGAGACTCCACTGGAGAAAACAAAAACTTCCTTTGCCAGTGGCTGTCAATTTCCGGTAGCTTCTTGGTTAGGGGTGGGAGCCCATGTCCACTTCCCACTCTCAGTGCTCAGACACCCCCTCCCCCCAAATCTGGCTTAAACTTGCACAGGTCCTATGTGAGCTTCTGTAGTCTCTGAATTCATGTGTGCGTCTGTCCTGTGGTGTCTTGTAGTCTTTCATCCCCCCATGCACTCTTACAGTCTTTCTCCTCGTCTTCTGTGTAGCGGGGAGAGGTGTGATGAAGACTTTCCATTTAAGACAGAATGCTTCAAGGTCTCGCGTGCTCTGCACACTGTCCAGCTGTGAGTCTCTGTATTCACTCCAGTCTGCTGCAGCAAGCTTCTCTGATGACAGCAGAGCAAGGCACTGGTCTATGAGCAGAGCAGAAGTTTTTAGGAGTCATTCTTTTGTCATGTTCCTATAGCAGAACAGTGTTACTTGGTTTTCCCCTAGGTCCCTGGTCTACCCAGGCCCAGGTTATTGGTCACGTAAGCAGTGTCTGGCATAGGTTCTGTCTCATAGAGTGTGCCTTGGCCTTAAACCCAGAGTGGCTGGGTACATTTACAAACTTTGTGCCATTATTGCACTGGCATACCTTCCAGAAAGGTCACTGCTGTGGGCCACAGAGCTTGTAGCTGGGTTAGTGGTTACCCTTCTCCTTTGGTAGCAGGCAGAGTACCTTCCCAGTGCCATGAACACTATTCAGTAGGGGTGTGGATTCTAGTTAGGCCCCAGCTCAAATTCTGCATTATGTTATGTAGGTATTGACTTCAGCAATAGGGCCTTACAATCGGTTTGTAGAGAGCAACCAATAGCCTTGACAATAGCCTATGTTGTTTGTGAGTTTCCATGGGGCCCCTTTGGCCAACAACTCAACTGGATATAACCTATTCCCAGTCCTGGAAGCTTCATTTGTTAATGAGAGATGCTCAGTTGGGCCTCTGTCTCCCCATTACCTGGTGGCTCTATTTAGATTTCGTTCATATATAATCTTCTACTGTTTCCAAATGACCCTCAGATGGCCTTAGGGTCAGTCATGTCTTCCCATAGCCTCTCTCTTACCTCCTTTCCCATCCTCCTCCCCATTTAATTCTTCCACTTAAGCCTGCCCTGCTGTCACTCCATAACAATGTATTCTACTTTCCCTTCATTGGGAGATCCTCATCACCTTCCTAATCCCTTAGTCTATACCTAACCTCTGTGGTTATACAAATTGTGGCCTACTTATCCAAGACTTAACAGCTAGCATCCACATATAAGAGAGTACATACAGTATTTGTCTTTTGGGGCCTGGGTTACCACAGTCAGGGTGATTTTTTTCTAGCTTCATTCATTTTCCTGTGAATTTTACGTTTTAAAAAGGATTTATTTACTTATTATGTATTCTTCATGTATGCCTGCAGGCCAGAAGAGGGCACCAAATCTCATTACAGATGGTTGTGAGCCATCATGTGCTTCCTGGGAATTGAACTCAGGACCTGTGTGCTCTTAACCCCTGAGCTATTTCTACAGCCCATGAATTTAACTTTTTAACAAATGAATAATATTCCATTGTGTAAATGTAGCACATTTTCACTATCCATTTATTGCTGATGGAAATTTAGGTTGTTTCCAATTTCTGGCTATTATGAGTAGCACAACAATGAAATGGTTGAGCAAGTGTCTCTGTACTAGTCCTTTGGTTATATGCTTGTGATGGAGTGAATAAGAATGACCCCCACATGTAGTTGGCTATTTTTACTCTTTGAGGGCCTGCCACCCAGATCCCAAATAAATACACGGAGGCTTATTATTACTTATGAATGCCTTCCCTTAGCTTGGTTTATTTCTAGTCAATTTTTCTTAACTTAAATTATACCATTTATCTTTTGCCTCTGGGCTTTTATCTTTCTCTATTTTATCTTTCTTTCTTTCTTATTCTGTTGCTTGGGTGGCTGGCTCCTGATGTCTTCCTCTCCTTTTTTTCTTGCTCCTCTATCTTTCTTTCCAGATTTCTCCTCCTATTTATTCTCTCTGCCTGCCAGCCCTGCCTATCATTTTCTCTGCCTGACTATTGGCCATTCAGCTCTTTATTAGACCAATCAGGAGTTTTAGACAGGAAAGTAACACATCTTCACAGAGTTAACCAAATGTAGCATAAAAGAATGCAACTCATCTTTGCATCATTAAACAAATGCTCTATAGCATAAACAAATGTAACACATACTAAAGTAATATTCCACTGCACCCAGAAGCTCATACACCTTGGGGTGGCATTATTTGAAAGGATTAAAAGAATTGGGAGGTGTGGTCTTGTTAGAAGAAGTTTGCCATTGTGTGTGAGCTTTGAGGTTTCAAAAGCCAATGCAAGTCCAGGGTCTCTCTTTCTGTCTGTGGATCAGGATGTGGTTTTCAATTACTGCTCCAGTGTCTACTTGCATGCCATCATGCTTCCTGCTGTGATGATAATGGACTGAACCTCTGAAAGTGTAAGCAAGCCCGCAGCTAAATATTTTTTTTGTAAGAGTTGCCATGGTCATGGTGTCTCTTCACAGAAACAGAACAAAGAATAAGATTAGGTCCAAGAGTGGTATAGCTTGATTTTGAGGTAGATTGATTCCCAGCTTCCCAAGGAACTGCTGTTGATTTCCATAGTGGCTGTCCAAGCTTGCACTCCCACCAGCAATGGATGAGTGTTCCCCTTACTCCACATCCTCTCCAGCATGAGCTGTCAGTTGTGTTATTGATTTTGGCCATTCTGACAGGTGTAAGATGAAATATCAAGCTGGTTTTAGCTTGTATTTCCCTGATGGTTAAGGATGTTACATTTTTTTCTCCTGTGTTTCTCAGTCAGTTGTGTTTCCTCTTTAGGGAATTCTATGTTTAGTTGTGTATCTTATTTTAAATTGTG